TTTCCTCACATATATTTTATATACATTTTTATATAGAAAAAATTAAATTAGGGTCAATCTCTGCTAGAAATGTGAAAAGAGATTTTTTGCAACAAAAGAAATAGTGAATTTGTTGAATATCTGATTATTTATTTAGTTATCTTTCTTTTTTTATTTATTTTGAATTGAATGAGATGAATGCTTTCAGCATCTGTCTCAACAGACGTTGAAATCATTTTTGTATGGCCTAGGATTATTTCTATTTGAATAAAATTGATATATTTTAAAAGAAAGAGAGAAAAAGACAAAAAAGGAAAACACAAAATTTTTGGGATAAATTTCCTTCAATACTTTAGTAAATATTGCAAAACTTTTCAAAATACTTACATTTTGTTAATTATTTGAATTGTGGCATTATTATATTTCCAATGGAATATAATTTGTGAAAAATTTTGTTCAAAGTTACCATTTACTTTTTAAATTCAAGATTAAATGACTTACAAAGCCGTGCTTATCGGAGATATTATTCGTTAATTTCAATTTATGAAAATTCGCTCCTTTTGTCATCCAGTGTTCACCGGTTGCTGGACTATCCGGATGTATATACATACGTTTTGGCATTTCCGGGTCTGCTTTACCAGCTACCATCCATCGAGAATTATGAAATTTGTAGCGGCATTCATCAGCTGGTACAATGTCCATTAGTAAAATGTACTTTGAACGTTTATCCAAACCGGAAAGCTTTACTTTGAAGGCCGGAAATATCCGCCTGCAATGTAAAAAATGATGACTAAAAAAAATATTCATAATCTTAAATTGAAGCTTTTATTTTAAGTTTTTTGAGTAAAGATTCTAAAAAAGTTTTTTAAATAAAAATTATTTTTATTAAAGTAGATTATTTTGAATTTAAATTCCGGATTACTGATTAATGCAGAAACTGACATTTTATTGCCGTGAATATAAAATAAATGAATAATATTTCGATTAAGCAATCTTTTTGATTCTAAGCTAACCATGATTTGATAATTAGCCTTTACTATATTTAAAATTACAAATAAATGAAAAATAGTGCAATATTTTCTCTTCTTTCATTTATCATTCTTTCGCTCACAATACAACTACATTTATTAGCTTTATTATAATAAATATTGTAATTATGATAATATCATTATTATTATATCAAGCCACTATTTTCTACCTTATGCCATCAACAATATATATGAATGTTTTAATAATCACTTTTATTTAAACCATATTTATCTTTCTTACAAACAAGCATTTACATTTTCAACAGTTTTGATAAATTTTCATGATAAATTTAATTAATTAGGAACAGGTGGCGGTGACTGAAGGATGAAAATATCTTTGAGTCCCCATATTCACACCCTTCAAAATACATGCTCATTCGCACAAAATGTCAACCAGATAACATCACTGCAATCAGTCCTGCATCTTCTAAAATTTCCCGAACCCTATCCACCACCCACACCTTCTCATTCATTAAACTATCCGCGTATCTCTTCTCCTTCTCTCTTTCAAACGAAAAATGTTGTGCATTTTCAAACAAAAGAAAATCACGAAATATGAAGTCACCCTTCAACGACGATGAGATAATATTTAATGAAAAGTACTGAATGTTGGTAAGCTTTTATATTTAATAAGAAAACAACAGTTTTCCTGATTTTAACTATAAATTTTATTTTGATTAAATTAGAATTAATAATTACTAAGAATTCTTACTTGAAAAAATAAGAAGGAAAATGTGAATTACTTGTAACAAAGTAATTCAGCATAATTCTTTTTATTACTTCAAAATTTTAATTATTGTATATTTTTCAATTTTTTTTCGTACGTTAACTTATTTTTTTGAATGTGCATATTTTGATGATAATTTATTTCAATAAGTGATAAAACCTAATAATTTTTTCTAAACACTGAATTTTTCTACGTTACATAAATAAAACATTATGCATTATTATCCTTAAAATATGCAATTAATATCAAACAAAAGAAATCATTTTTTTTTGTTTTCTCTGTCTAAAGCAATTAACATGCGATGCAATGAATTATAGAGCTTATGATCAGTGCCGGAATTAATTATTAATACGGTATATGCAGCAATAATTATTATAATTAATCGAATTTTGAGAAGAAACGGTGTAAATGTTTGGAAGAAATGAAAATTACTCAAAGATTTTTGGTTATATCATTAAAAGTTATATCATTTATTAATTTCAGAGTAGGAAAATTAAAATGATTTCATACCGACTGAATTAGAAGATAGCAAAATTATTGAAGATAAAAGGCTCAAATAATATGCCAAAAATTTTGCAAAAAATTTTCATAATTTCAATTTAAAAATAATTTATTCATGATGAGGAACAATTCAGCCTAAAAATTGGTTGGGAAGAATTTGTTGGAAGTAAAAAAGACCTATCATAAATAAATTTAAATGATAAGTGATATGATATGTTATATTAATAAAACACGTATAACCATAATTTCTTGAAATGACCAGAATCACCATCATTGAAGTTAACCAAACAACATTAATGGCATCGCTAATTCATTACGACAATTTGCTTGATTAAATTAAAATTTACAATTAAATAAATTTTCGTCTAGTAGAAATTGTTGATTTGTTATATTTAGCAAAAATTTATCGAAACAATTCAATTATTCTGCATCCTTTCTTTCTTTTTTTGTCTTTTCTCATTCTCAGCGATTAATTGATAAAGAAAGACATTGGAGAACTAATCTTCTTTTCATTGTTTCAATTTCACACCCATTAATTAAATTGAAATTAATAGATTGCAATGTCTTATCCTTCTCATATGGGTTTTCCTACCACTGATAAAATGTCATAAATCTTTTTAACACAAATAAAGAAAATCGACAAAGTTACTTACGGGACGGGAAACAGGGATCGGATGGAAAGGAGATTGCAGGAGAGGGAGGGGAAAGGTGAAGGGTTAGCAGATGCAAAGGGACAAAGTTGGATGAATGGAGAAGGGGTTTCTAATCAAATCTGAACAGCTTTTCAAACCGATCATTTCTTCTATCACCAATAAGTGTCAAATATCACAATGGTATGTGTTAATACAAACGTGCTTATCAGCAGTTATCTTCTGAAAGAGATGAAGAGGAATAGAAATATTCAAAATATTTCAATTAAATTTCAACGTGTGTGTGTTTATGCGTGTATGTGTGTGGCGTATCCTTCCACATTCACATTCATCAATATGTATGACAAACAGACAGATAGACAATTTTGATAAATTTCTTTTTTTTTGCCACTGATTAAAATCGATTTAAGGTTTTTTTAAGCATATTTCAGCTATAAAATCAGTGCTCACTCATTTCATTAATTTCATTCTCTTTTGTTTCGAGAGAAGGCGGGTGAATTTTTTAATGAGATATGACCAACTGGAATTATCGAGTGAAAAACATTTCAGAAAAGATTGCTATTATAAGACTGTTACTTCTTTGATTGATTAGTCAATTTATCAAAAATTTAGTTCATGCTCAAAAAATTGTCATATTTCAGAATCGAAACTTTTGATTTCTTTCCCTTCCCTACTCCAATTTTTAACAGTCATCACACATTATAATTACAATGATTGGCAAGAAGAAAATGAAACAGATCGAATAATTTATCAAATTATAAGGAAATTTAGCTACCAAATTCTTAGCAAATCAGAAATGTTTTAATAGAAATAATTTGTTTCTAACTTGGATATAACAGAATGTCACTCAAAATATGCTTCTAGCATCATGTAACACTGACTAATGTAAACGGTATACATCCTACGCCACTTTTTATTAACTTACGTAAGTGATATATTTCATCAAACTTCACTTGCAATCAATAAAACCATTTCTACTCTAATCTAATATCAACTATATAATTCAAGCGATTCCTTTATTCCTTCAAAATAGAACATAAGCATAGAAAACAACAAAAGAAAGGGTTAGAAATAAAATTAAAAAAAAGGGCGTTGATCAATAAGAGAGATAATTGTCATTACCTTTTGTTTGCCGTATGATTGAGTAATTTGATAAGAAGCAAACCCTTTCTTTTTTATTATCTTTTCACAAATCCTTTTTTCTCTTCTGTCTCATAAAAAAGCCATCTTAAATTTTACACATCAGAGAGAGAGAAAGGAAAAAAAGAAAAAATGAAGGAGGGAAAATGTGTCTGCCATTTCAATCTCAAATTTTCTTAAATTTATACCAATTTAGAACATATGTTGTCTTTATTGTCACTCATTTACGCATTCCATTGTCGTTTCTATTTTAATTGTACTTATCGATTTGTTTCAGATTTGATATCTAAGCTTAAGCAAAAAAAGTCCCTTACTTGATTTTCTAATCAGAAAACAAACTTTCTCATCCAATCATTTATTTATTTATCCATTTATCAATCTACTTATACATTTATTGATTTGACAGCAAAATTGACAGTACAAAATATATCTTCTCTTTCTTTCTTTTAATAATTATCAAAATCGAAATAGTATCGATGTAATTATTAAAGAAAAAATATTGTTATTTGTTAATGTCAGTAGATATTGGTTAAAATGGTGAAAATTTTCGAAAGTTATGAAACATTAGGCATTTGACAGAACACTGTAAACAGTAAGAGAAAAGTAAGTTAGATGAGAAAGTTGTCATAAATCTGTCCTGGTCGATCATCGACAATTATGCTAATATACGGATTATAAACATTATAACAACAATTGATATAGCTGTAGCCTAATAAGATAATGATCATATTGGCTGAAGATTATTGATAATGATGATAAAATACTGGACAACTATCAGACAGCAGTGGCGATATTTTATTCTAGCCAAAATTTGAAATTTGAAGCTACTACGATAGCCGCAAGTGAATTTGCTTCTAGAATAAAGGAATACAAGGGATTTCATTTTCTAAAGGAAATTTTGAAATAGGGATGTGGAATATTCAAGAATTAAATGATTAAAAGAAAAAAAGAGAAAAAAACTTTCTTAAAACAGATGATGTCATTAATGGTCAAAGTATAATAAACATATGTAAGTTTTAAATCAAGTTAAGATTGATGGGAATACGGTACATGTGCTTAAAAGTGATATATGAGGGATGCAAAAATAAAGCGAGATAATAATGTCACGGAAATTAATGATATTGATTTGGTTACCTTGGCAAACATGATTATAAAACGGTCAATAATTAGTCAAAATATTGGTATGATAAATAATCTTAGCTGCTTTTAGTCCAAATAAGAAGATTTTTCGGTAGTATTTAAGATTTATTAATATAAAATATTTTTGAACGAAGTAATAATAGTTTTCAAATTTAGGAAGTCAGGGAAAAACTTTTTTTAATTGCGAAAAAAGTTTGCACCTTCCACTTTTAGTGATGACCATTTCGGTACCACAGTTACAGAATTGATCCCAGAGATTTTTATCATCCAATTCTACTTTTGGATCATCAGTTACACCGTCATCATCCACAATTCGTGTACCTGATGACGGTAATGATGGCGCAAATTCGGTGATTTCAGTTGGTAACCGAGGGAAAAAACCTGTTGGACCAGGTAAGGATGGGAATGGTGGTGGTTGCAAGTAAGGTGGTAGCAAGGCCAAATCCGGCCTCGCCAAAAATGGATTAAATGCCATGTGCATACGGTAAGAGGATAATGTTAGCACATTGCTTGGACTAACTATTACAGCAGTAATATCGGCCTCGTTCAGTAAATACTGCTGGCACGGCCTTTCTTTCGTTGCCTTTTTTTGGATGAAATATTCAATTGTAGTAATTAATTAGCAAATAAATGTAACTGTTGGAAATATCATGAAGTAACTCGGTAACCATCCGACAATATGCAGAAGTAATGTAGAAGTAACCCTTTTCTTGAAGCGTTTAATTTTTGAATAAATAATTGGAGTCAAACGAATGCCTGCAATAGAAATGCATAAATGCGACAAATTAAACACATTAAAGATAATCTGACATACCGTATCATTGGTACTAAAATGAACGACTCGTAAACTATATGTATTTATGATATCGTAACCTGCATTTAAATGATATAAAAAAGCAAAAATTTGGTAATTCGAAGATTTGAAAGATTTCAAGAGGTATAATCACATACATATGCACACAGAACACATACACACCGACAACCACATACATTATTTGGATACAGTACAGTGTGTAAGCAAGTGTCATTGGAATATCCGTTATTGGTGATGATGATAATGATGTTGATAAGGGTGATAATAAGAATGGGTTATGTTAATTGTGGTTTGCTGGTAGTGGACAGCTGGACACATTTCGATAACACGCGAACGGACAGCTTTTCGATAGGAGCGGTAGCAAGGACAACTGACGAAATTGACACCTTTGGAAGTTGTGTTTACTGCTCTCTGGATGTATGTGTGTATGTGTCTGTGTCTGTGTGTATGTGTGTGTGTATGTTATACTAAAATTTGTTTTGTGAATGGTAGCATTTAGGTGGGCAATTCGATAAATTTTGCATCTTATTGGTTACTTCATTATTTGAAGGGGTGGAGTGGAGAGGACCTATACAGAATGGGAATGAAAAGATAGAAAAGGGGAGGGGAATTTGATAGGAGGTAGGGGACGGGGGTTTGGGAGGCGGGGAGAGGTGGGGGTGGAACAGCTAAAGATAGAAAAACCCACTTGAGATAAAATGGAACTGCTGCTGCTGCTGCTGCTGCTATGCTACTGCTAATATACTTGGGCGGTACCATTCTAACCCATTCCATTTCCCATCGTCGCCACCACCACCGTTGCTACCACTACCACCATTGCCACCATCATCCCACATCACCGCCACTATTATCAACATTATCATCATAAAGGAGGAACCGAGAATTCATCCCTTTCTCCACCTTCTTTCCCTCCAGATGATCTCTGTTTTCCACTGCTACCTGTCTGGCTCATTGCTTATAAATGCTATCATTCTTTTTCATTCAATACTTCCTTGTATTTTTTATGTGAAAAAGTACAAAAATCAGAAGTGTCAAGTTTATTCTCTAAATAATTAAACATAAATATATTTACAAAGTTAAATCATCAAGGAATTATGCAACCTATGTTTAGGCGCAACCTTTATAATGCTATAAAAAATGAAATGTACTGACCATATCACATATATCAATTTAAATGAATTGATGAATGAATTATTCGATGGTGGCTTTTATAGGATACGGTATTATATTGTTTGCTTCAATCTGGCTTAGTGAAAAGAAACTCCTTATATTATAACAGTAAGAGAGTATGAAGGAAGTCATCAAGATCATAGCTGTTGTTAGGAAGCGTGACGGACGTAAGATGAGATAATTTGTTGGAATACTTTGAGACACGTAAAATGAGATAATCTATTGGAGATACTTTGGGAAACGTGAAATGAGATAATTTGTTGAAGATACTTTTGTTGTTGTTACAACATTTCCGCACAGTTACATATCAAAGTTATAATGATAAACCGATGCAAATATTTTGTAAGAATTTTATTTTATAATATATCTATTTAGGGTTTGTGTCAGTTATAGATAGGGTACGTGGTGTGGTAAACGTCAACTTTAGGAGCATTCGTTGTTGCATTTTTATATGACAATACAATTTAAACTGACGTGTTTGACGTGCTATTTGTAAGAATATATTTTGTACTTAGATTTTTTCCAAAGTTGCATGACGTTGCTAAAATAAGCAGGATTAATCGGATAGATGCAGATAATTTAAGGTGTACGGTAGTATTATTTATCAGTGTGATATTTTACTCGTACCTCGATATCACATACCATATTTTAGGCGCATGGTAATGCTATCTTATACTTTGGTACGATAATTTTGCCTCGGTATAACAATACATGTGCCACAATGGCAGATTTTCAGGGCAATTATAGTTCAAAGGTGAGTCATGAATGGTATTTATTGGAGAAAAGAATCCAATCATTTATTATTCACTATTAATTGATGCGATTTTGATTTTCCTCTTCTTTTGTCAACGAACAATTTATTGTGAATAATTAAAGCGCATTCAATTTGAGGATGAGCTATGAAAAATTTCAACTAGTATGCATATACTCATAAATATATTAATTAACTAATAATGAATTGCCGAATTTTGTGCACTTATCGAAAATTTCAATCAATATTGTACTTTTTTTCCTTATTTTGCAGTGTTTTGATTGTGCATTCATCGATAGATTTCGATTCTGATTCAGTTGAGAACAATTGCTGTGACCCACTTGTGGTAATATGCTTCCTTTTCTCGCGTTTTACTTAACATATTCAATCATTAACATATGGAGTAATGCTTATTACTGACTAACACTTATAAGCTTAATTTTTTCTGTTATAGAATTCATCAGTTTTCATCCAAATTTAAATTAAAAATTGATTACTGAAATGTTTCAAAAAAAAATTACTAAAATGTTTCAAATTTTCACTTTATGATTTTTTTTCGAAACCGAAAAATTTCAACATTTCCATATACAATGATTTTTTTGCTTAAATACATTGAAAAAATTAATTTACAAACACATATATTACTGAAATATGATTTTTTCAAAATATTGTTGGTAAAAGAAATAGAAAAAACTAAGAAAAATTAGTTTAGGTTTAATTATTAATATGTTTATATATGTATATGATGTATACAACTGTACCAAACGAATTCGGTGATTTTTCTTTGGGTGATTTTTTTTAATTTCAATTTTCAGGTTTTTAATTACTTTATAAAATAATTTTGGTTTACAACAGTACATATGTATGTATTAACACCATATTTTATTAATAACTCAATAAAATTATATGACATGATACAACTTAATGGTATAACTTAATAAAATTATGATACTCGTGTCAAATAATTATTTGAATTAAGATTTAAGCAAACACGTTTCGTTCCGGTATAATCATATTGTTTCAAGCCTAAGAAAAAAAAGGAAGAGAAAATCGAGTGTTACTATGTACAATACAAATAAAATTAAATTCTGACGATAGCTTGCATACTCTCACCTCTTTACAAAGTTGTTGTCATTGTTTTCATTGTTACGGCTGTGATAATTTGTTCTTTTGACCAGTTACTTTTAGCAACTCTTTAACTAAGCGACAAATAACTATCCGATCTGTTTTATGTGAAATGAATAAATACGGCTTGCTCGTAGTGTACTAGTCCGACTCATTCGTCATCATTAACAAACTCAATTTTATTGACATAAACTCCTGTCAAAATGTAACACACTGCCGGTAGATTGACACGACCGAATTCGATCTGATTTAATTGCGAATATTTCTGGTGTGACAACAAGTTTTTAACACCATATGGTGAAGATCGTCGTCGAATCCGATGCCGTAAGTGAAAGATAATCGATGTTAAAATGTCAACATGGCATATCTTTTTTTAAGGGGAGGAAAGAAGGATACAATTTTTTTTTAATTTGGAAACTTTAGCATATCTACCAGAAATATCGCAGCTTTGGATGATACAATAACTTCTGGGTGACGTTCAATATTTTAGTTACATCAAAATTTTGAGGCTATTATGACAAATTATTTAGATCAAAATCCGCGGTAGATAATTCGCAGAAGGATGATACTAGCACTTAATCATTCTTTTAATGAATACTTCATGGGATTAAAAACAAGAAAACAAAGAGAAGAAACGAAGGGGAGGAGATAAATTGGACATAGAGCAAAACAGCTTTAACCAAGCTCAATGCAATTCAAATTACTTAAACTAAATTAAATGCTCAATTTGGAGTCTGAGTATTGCCCCTAACAGAGTTGAAGTATTTTGTCCAAATGTTTGATGGTAAAAATTAGTAAAAATTAGTGAATTCATATATATCATTAAAATAAAATTCAAAAAATATACATTTCATCAATAACTTATCTCTTATTCAACGAATTAAAAAATAATTCAGCTTTAAAGAGACACAGGACTTGAAAAAATAAGGCTTTACTTTTTATAGAATATCATTTAACCTTAAACTAACTTATTTCAACTTGTTCTATTTTTGCACCTTCACATACCATTTGAAAAAAGTCGAAATCAATAAGCACAGATTTTCATAGTACCTAGCAACCTTAAGGGCCTTGTATAAGGTATTGGGACAGTATTCAGTACGAACTTCTCCATTAGCTCTTTCCAAAAACGACTAATAAGTGAAGAATTCGAAGCTTCATTTAGGTCCTATCTCATACCCTAAAATAAGAGAACCCGAAAAACTTAAACCATAATTCCTCCCCCTCTCCGTTTTCCTATACACATGGATCCAAAGTTTCATTCCTGAATGAGTAAGCCAATCAGTGCATGTAAGGTCGAACAATTTTGCCCATCTATATATATTAAGCTTCCAGTTCCACCTACAAATTTTATTTCTTGCATGTTAGTAGCGCTTGTAGCCATTTCCTGGACATCGTGAATTGCTGATCCAACTTGCAGATCTTGTCGATCGTGCATTTCAGATTGGGAATGGTTATTTATAATACCATCCTCACTAACCGATATCACCCGTGACTCCTCCAATGAATTTTTTTTTAATAATGATATTGAAGTGGACGAAGCGCGATCAAATTCCCGTAACAATGCATATATACCTTTGATGCGCAATGTTTTCCGACCAATTTCACTTCCGCATAACTGGAACAAAAACAAAATTTGGAGAGCAAAATGATGAAACAATGAAATTTGAAAATGCAAAAAATGAACCATCTTCAGTTGTTTACGTTAAAAAATAACATCACTACTAATAATTAACAATGATGTCATTTAATGGATATTTTTTAAATAAAAAATGCGTATAAACTTGTATAACGCAATTGAAATGTGAATTACGTCAGTAAGAATTTTGATCAATTTTCCGAGAAATTTATAAATATTTGGTTATCTTCAGTTAACAAAATACTGTTTCCACATGCCAACTTTGGAAGCACAAACGAACTGTGTTGCAGAAACAATAAAATCCACGTCAGTTACAGCCTTCCAATTCATCTATTTCTCGTCAACCACCCGTTTTTGTTATGTTTTGAATATTATGTTGCTAAGCATAGACGAATGATGCAGGCAGTATAGCAAAATCAACACTTTTGAAGTATAATTTATACATAAAAAAAGTATAATTTAAAGTATAATTTATACATGAAAAATAATTTTGAAAAATTTTAACATTTTTTTAAATTTAACGAAAGTTATTACTTACAAATCAAGAAAGCGTGACATTCATTACACAGAAAATTTTTGTTTTTAATTTCCTCATTTGCGCTATCTTCTGATTTTCTCAACAAGTGATGCAATTCCCGCATTAAATATCTAACTTTATTATTTTACTAACCACCAATCGGCTTTGCACCTCTATCCTTTAAATCACTAAACTATCATAAGAGAAAAGCACATTTGCGGAGCTCATAAATCGGGTGGAATATGAAATGTGCTCGTTTAGCAACTATAATAGTGTTATCATTTTCTACTAAATTTTATTTTCCTCACTAATTACTATCCGAAAGAAAAAACTAAACAAAATGAAATAAAATAAAATGAATTAATAATGGAAGAAGGCAAAAAGCAATTTTCAATTCTTAAATATCATCAAGGATACAGCAACTGTGAGAAAATAACAGAATAACATTTTTTCTACCTTTTCTAACTGTCCGATATCAGAAGATTACTTCTTAGAAATGCGGATTACAGACAGTGATAATCGCGTTTTGTTGTTGGTAAGACTAATCATAATGGTAATGTTAATCAATCAACCAAACAATATCGATTTATTAAAATCGCCGCATTAATGATGGATAATAATGATGATAACTGTAAGAAGAAATATTATCAATGAAAGTTAACTGAATAACTTTCAAATAAAATACACTTTGTACACAATTCCGTAATTTTGCATTCTTTTCCAAGTATTATTATCACTATCATCATTCCTATTTGTTATCACATAGAAAAAACAAAATTTTGTGTGAAAGGAAACGAAATCACAGAATGCTAGCAGCTGATTCTCTTTACCTCATCCCTTTTTATCTTACCTTTATGAGTTGCTAATTTGTTAAAACGGAAAAGTGAAAAAAAGTTAAACGGTGTACTAATTGCCAAATAACACACAAAAAAAAGAACTTTCCGCGCAAAAAGAGCGAAATAAAATAACTCGATATTTACAGCATACAAAACCACCGCCCCAATCTCCAAATATTATATCGAATGATTCTATTTCCAGTAGTGCTAACCGAAACTTCACAAGCACTTACATCATTATGCATAACCCATAAAATTTGCTTAGTACTCAAAGTGTCAAATATCCTTGATAAATACACATTTACTATACGCAAAAATTCTCTGATACACAATTTCTCAGCTTCCTGCATAAAACAGATCCATGAGAAAAACTTTCAGATAATAAGAATACGACGTAATTTACATATCAATAAACGAATAAACAAAATCTAAATAATGAACCAATAGGTGACAGACGAATATACCATTACCATATTTTGATATACACAGAGTAAAGGCAACATGATTGGATAAAAATTAAAATACACTTCAATTTTATTTGCAAACAATTAGTTAGTTAGTTGACTAAAAAGATATCTTTTATTCGTAAATGTGTTATAATAAATTTGTTCTTTTTTTGTGATAATGGAAGTTAATTAGCACCAAATTTCGTGTTAGAAAAATTGAAAAGAATTCTATCATTAATCTACTATCACATTCGTCCGCTCGTTTCATCTTTAACAGTTTCATTATGTCTTTTAATGCTATTTCGTTGAGAAATTTTTGAAAAAAACCACCTTTTCCTTTGCTCATTAATAATTTCAACGGATGAGCAAAAAAAATTACAAAAAAGAAAAAAACAGTCACCGAAAGGGAAACAAAGTCCAAAAGAATTTAAGGAGATATATGCAGGGGTGAAAAAAGGTGTTAAATCGTTTGGTCTCTTGTATCTTCTCGATTCAGTAGGGTTTTTCCATCCTTTAACTCTTCTCTTCCTCCAATCATCCTTACTGAAGAAGTGACAAATTGTGAAAATTTATTCTTTTTTTCTTTCAAAACCCAAACATGCTCCTATACCACTTTTGCCGAATCACTCGAAATGGACAATTTTTCATTTACATGAACAGGAAATTCACAACTCCAAATTTCATTATTTTTCATTCGGCACAAGAATTTTTTCTCATTTGTATCTCTTGTTATTTTTTCTCTTTTCTCTTCATCTATCAGGTGATGCTCGTCTATTAAAACACTAGCCAGTAATATCACTCGTCTTCAACACTTTCTAACCTGATCCATCTCGAACAGAAAAAATTACTTCAATTCCCTTTGAACTCGTTCGTTCCACACTCTATTCCAACAATCAACTTTCTCCGATCACCTTGTTCCCTAACACCTTCTTTTTCATAGTTCACCCCATTATTTGCAACTCTCTCCTATCTCCACAACTTTTTCTCATCTTTCCCCTTTTTTAATATGAAAATGCTCGAATAACCTTTTTGACTTATTTAGATTTCTTTTTCCCCTAAGTTATAAAAGTCTATCGAAAACATGAAAATATTACTGTGAAATGAAAACAATAATGCAAAATTATCTAGAACCATCTGTGTTCCTTTTTTCTTCATTTGCAATATACATTTAAAAAAAATTTTCTTCCAAAAAAAATTCTTGGAAAGATCATAGATTTATCTAAAGAGAAGAAAGAGTAATAATGAAATTAAATTTTACAAATTGTTGATGAGCACACATGCATCGTCGGCAGTGATAGACTTAAATATGTGATACTTGTATGTTTTATTGATACTATAACCGATTCAGCACTATATTATCAGTGTGACTATGCAAAAAAGAAAAAAAAAACTTGAAATTCGTCCATTCAGCAAAAAGCGATTCTCAAATGCAAGCTAAACATTTAAGAAGAGAGGAAGAAAGGAAGAAGGTTGATCTCTATCA